TTTCTGTATTTTGAGTTATTATAAGGATTTTTTCTAGAGTTTTCAAGGATGATCTTCTATTATTTATTCCTTGACCCTCAGTTTGGAGTCCACTGATCTAACACATTGACCACTATATAATAATAATATAGTAGCATGCGGTCTCCACACAATCGCGTGGCAAATAAAAAAGCAGATCCATATACGAAGGAATTATTTATTGCGCGCGCGAATAGGAACTGTGTCACTTGCAACTTACAAGCTTTGCTCGGAAAAGTCACATTATTGAATGAACCGTTGAATTATCCAATAATAATAATAACTATAGTTGAAAGTGGCATCGTGCCTTGAGGCAAAATGCTGGAACCTCCCGCACCGAAAATAAACATTTTTAACTTCCCGTAGGGTAAGTTATTGTAATGGGCCGAAAATCCAATTAAAAATTTTTATATTTCTCGACGTTTTGAAGGTTTCTGAACATTTTGGCATACCTCAGAAAAAATGGATGTGTGTGTGTGTATGTATGTATGGATACAAATTTCCAGTCACGTTTTCGGGCGCACGGATCAACCGATTTCAATGGTTCAAAAAACATTCGATTCCTATTGATAGGGAGAAGAGCTGCTTAGTTTTTGGCAATGGCAGGTCCAGCCATTTCGGAGATACGGAGCAAAGAGTGCAGAAAATAGAAATCGAGTTTTTGAGAGAACGGTGTATCCGATTTGAATGATCTAAAAAACATTCAATTAGTAATGATTGGGAGTAGTGTTTATTAGTTTTTGGCAAAGGCAATCCCAGCCATTTTGAAGATACGGAGCTAAATATGTAAAAAATGGCAGTTTTTGAGAGAACTGAGCGTCCGATTTAAATGATTCAAAGAACTTTCTGCTTGTCTTAACACAATAATTGATTTTGGAAAAAGAAATTTGTTTCAACTTTTTTTTAAATTTTTTTGTATATCGAAAATAATTCAGATTTTATTTTTAATTCTGACTATAGTTCTAATATACTTTAAACAAATAATTTCAACTTTGCAATTCAGTTTATATAATTCTTATAAATATTAGACAATGTTACAATATTAATAATAATCTATTTAAAAACATTCAGTATTCCTCGAACATTTCGTTACGGTACGGGAAGTTCCAGCAATTTGCCTTAAGGCACGATGCCATACACCCCACTAGTTCTTATCTAAAATTAATCCTAAGGGTAACGTGCAACAGTTGGTGGCGCCTCTATGGAGTGTAGATACAATTAAAATTATAGTAATGGCAATGCTGTGTTTGCGATCTATTACACTTCTTTTATCTATGGTCACTCCGCACTTGTTATTGTAAATTAAAATAAATAAAAATCTATCGAAATCTAGACTAAACAAAAAAAGTAATAAAAATAAACAAAATAATTAATAAACGAAATGATTCCAATACGATTCTTATAATATTGGGCTAGTAACTTTGATATATTTGAACAAAGTAAGGATCACTGTAGATGATGATGGTAAGGAATAGTGGTAAACCATCATAAGGAACCCATTAGTATTCCATATCATCAAAAATTATTTACTGCGGCTCTGAAATAGATTCTGTGTGTAAGTTTTATTACCCGCAATTAAAACGTGCCATTGCGCTTTATTTTCATTGCTTTATTTATGGCTTTCAATTAAGAATAAATTTATATTAAGATAACCATTTAGCTAAAGAAAGATTTTATTCCTTTTAGCTTAATGGATTTATTTGTCGAATTATAATTACTCGTAAAACTTTCAAGGAATTGTTATTTTCAAGAATTTATCTTGAAAGTGTTGTAGATGTTGGAGAAATATTTGTTCAAATGTTATTGTCTTGATATATCAAAATATAGCTGATGATATATATATTTTTGGATTTTACGTTAGTTTAAATTATTACATGAAGTTGTAGTAATTTTACTAAAAATAGTGGAATTCTATAAAAAAATTAAAACATACAGCGAACTTAATTGTTGAAGAAAAAAGGGGTTTTCTAATATTCCAATATTTATATTGTATTTATATATATATGTACTTCTATTATTTATATATACTTTATTTATTCTTTTTTAAACTTCCCGTAGGGCAAGTTCTAGTAATCGCATTTAAATTTAAAATTTTTATATCTTTACGTTTCAGAGGTTTCTGAATATTTTGGCATACCTTTAAAAAAATGGATGTATGCTGTGCGCGCGTGTGTGTGCGCGCGTGTGTGTGCGCGCGTGTGTGTGCGTGTGTGTGTGTGTTCGGATACAAATTTTCGTCGACGATTTCGGGAACACGGATGAAGCGATTTGAATAATTCAAAAAACATTCGACTCGTATTGATAATGAAACGTGCTGATTAGTTTTTGGCGAAGGCAGGTCTAGCCGTTCCGAAGATGTGAGGCAAAAAGTGCTAAAAACTGTAACTCAGTTTTTAAGAGAATGGAGTGTCCGATTTGAGTAATTCAAAAAACATTTTACTTGTATTAACAATATGAAGAACTGATCAAATTTGTATGAAAGCAGGTCTAGCGGTTTCGGAGATCTAGTGAAAAAAGTAAAAAAATGCCATCTAGCGGTCAAAAATGATCATTAGACATATGCACATCAAATTATCAGATATTTTATAATTTTAACAATAAGTATAAATTTTGTTTACATGCCTTTGTGGGTTCCGTACCAATGTTTATTCGTTAGACGACGGCACGGCGCTTACGCGCTTCGATATTTCGTCTCTATGCAGTTAAAGCAGTACGATTGCTTTGAAAAAAAGTTCAGAATTTTCAAAATATTTCAAAATAAATTTTTCTTCAAAAAGTCTTTTTTTTTTTTTTCAAAAAACAGTAAATTTTTGTCAAAAATTTATAGTTTCTCAAAAATCTAATTTTTCAGAGTATTTTTTTTTTAAATGTTAATCTTTTTTTTAAAAAAATAATTTTTTGTAAGCAGATCTACCATCTTTATATCACAAACGAACAAATTATAAATTTTTTAGTGATACTATTTTAAAGTAGAAGGCAATAGATGTGTAACCTGCCATCACCTTTATTTTTACGATGTCGCTATCAGGGATTAAACAGAAATGTATCAATCATTTATTACATAAGTATTTTTTTTGTTAGTAGTTTTTGTTATTTTGAGCTCTTGTATTTAGTTTATGATACCTGAATATCATTTTTAAGTATACACTATTTAATTGTTTTGTAAGATTTTTTATATCAGCTCTAAAAAAGCTGAAATGAGGGTGGGGTGAAAAAGACCAACTAAACTTTTACATTAACAAAGTAAACAATAATTATCAATAATTTTCAAATTTGAATTTAAATTCTTATTATTTTAAATAACTTTTATGAATGTTTTAATTTATGAACACTGTTTTTTTGTTCTTAAGACTGTTAGTTAAGTATGTGCAGGACAGTTACAAGTTAATTGGCTTAAATTAGCATTAATATGAATGCCTACAACTTTTCTGAATTCTTTGCATGTTTGTTTGCAAAAACTCTTCATGCCAATAAACATATATATGAATGTAAGAATTTTGCTTTCCAGCGAAGTTATACTAAAGCAATGTTTTGGAATAATAATTTTTAATTTTTTTTGTTGGCCTCTAAACTTTTAACGTTTAACCACGAACATTCCGTGTAAAAGCTCAATGCCATGAAGATTGTCACCTTCATGACCAATATAATAACACGAAAATACGTCCGAACAGTAACTTCTAATATTTTTTTATAATTAAACCACTTTCCATACGCCCATATTATTTTACGATATTTGTTAAGACTTCATTAAGATTTCGAAGACAATTTGTTCAAAAATTCATTTCGAAGAAAGAGCTTGGCCAATCTTTACCAGAAAGTAATCAGCATGATTTCCAAGATATATCTTAAGAACAATTTTTGAATTTTTGAAGTCGATTCACGGTTTCTGGCTAAACCCTGGGATAAAATTTTTGCACTTATCTCCTAACAATAACAAAAAGACAATTGAGTCTATAATCGCTCAAAACTGATCAAAGCTAATTCTTATCGTGTTTCTTGGAATGGTCTTATTTTTTTTTAATTTTCTGCAATTTAGGTGTCAAACAATTCAGAATGACTTGAAATCTTGAGATGACATAAATCGAAAGTTAATAGATATCAGATTATACTGAACTCTATATTTTTGTAGATCGATTTTCTTTTTTCAATCCTTTTGCTAATCGAGCAAAATCAAATGCAACTTGCAAGCTCATCAGGATAGAATTACAGATTGCGCAGTGGTCAGTGTTGTTGTCAATGAAACTGACTAACAATATCAAATTTCCGTAATGTTAAACAATTAATATTGTTTGTCTATAAATATTTATTCATGTGTCGTTTATTCATAGGAAATGTATTGAATTTCGCTGTTTTATTTGCAGATCAATTTCATGCGGTCTCTTTATCGATTACCATATGTTAAATATGAGATAAAATGATATGGATATATTTATTTACTGTTGTGTAACTGTTGGTATAGTTGATAATGAAAAAATGAGTTTATTTTAAATTTGAATTTTGAGTATAATTAAGAATCTCCTCCGTGAATTAGTAGTTAGAGCTATGGGTTATCCCATATTCATCAGTTTTTACTTGAAAATATGTTTCCCTGTGAAAACTTGCCTTTAGGGCATTGCTGCATAATTAAAAAATTAATCAGTATTACAGAAATTATAGTAATAAATTTATCAAATATAGATTAGCCAACCATTGCCTTGTAAAAAACGACGAAGTTAAGAGAAGTTTTCATATCAGAATTCATTTCAGAGTAATAGTTTCTTCAGCAAAGTATCTTATTTTGATCCCTTGTATCCGAAAATCATGTGTGCCTAAGCGACTTCATTTGACCCATACAAATCGACCCGCTCTAATGTCGAACTACGCACATATTAAATAATATACATAATTTTTATAATAATAATTATTATTCAAGTATATTAATGTCACAAAAATAGACTTTATTTATAACAAATTAAACTATAATAAATATTTTCTTTCTCCAGTGAAACATGTTCAATTTCATGAAGAAGGGCGGCTCCTCGTCCTCCGCGCTCACGGAGGATCGAGAAAAGGAGCGCAGAAAAGCCGACAAGAAGTTACGAAAGGAGCAACAGAAAAGGGATAGGGCGTCGGGTACCATGTCAGCCGAGGAACTTCTTAGGCTGGACGAGGTTTGTTGACATGTATTTCACTATTTTACTTGGTTAATGTTTAATTATTTACTCATTATTATATTAATAATGAACTTTATCAAAACATTACCAACAAGGAGAACCTCAGGGTTGCTCATCTGGGATTTTGATGAAACTTTGCATGGTTGAAGAAGAGTTAATAGTCCAAACAAACATCTTAAAATATTATAGGCCTAGGGTTAACTATAATAATTATAAAATTGAAGTTTAGAAAGATAGGAAGCGATGGATATATACACGAATAGTGTTTTTTATTTATATGTCAGTATGGTCATGTGGTTAAGACTATAAATAAGGTGGAAATATTGAATATTGAGGCATTGATTTTCTTCTAGGCATTTTTTGGAATTTCATTTTTTTATCATGATTTTGAACTTGCCGATTTATATATATCTTTGATATTTTTGAGTAATTTGGAAATCTCATATCTTCTTGAAAAATTTATTAGTTGTATTTTTGATATTTTCGTATTTATTTAAAATTTTAGTAATGTTTCTAATTTTAGAAAATTTCAAGTAGTTTTGTAAGTTCTAAAAAAATTTCTAGAAAAAACAAATTCTAGAAAAATAATTGATGATTTGGTTAATGTTTTAAAATATTTTTTGTCCATTCATTCAAAGCATTATTAGTGTCGAGACATCAACAAAAATTAGTGTCACATTATATTTACATATGACAATTATTATTGAAATTGATACGTAACTTTTTACTCTACTTTTTTCATTCAAAAATCATAAAATTGCGTTCACGATTCTTATTCTAAATATTACAACAACTATCTAACATGATAAATAAATAAACAACATTTTTCAATGGATGATAAATATTACAATTATCATGTCTGGACAGAAAATATTTCACGAGTTTATTATGTGTATCATTTTGATACTCTAAAAGCAAACATTGAATAATTTCTGATAAAATTGCTGAACAAATTTTCTGAATCCAAACATGGAAGTAGATATAGACAAAACAGTATTGATTGTTATACAATTTATTTGAATGTATAACACATGACAAATTGATAAAATTTATCAAAAATGGTAATTGATGTTTTTGTCAAAATTTAGGCTTTAGTAATAGTTGACTTATTGGAAAACATTTGTAGAGGAATTTGTACAAATACTAGATGACCCGACAGGCGGTGTCCTGTACCCACGTCTACATTTCAAAAGTTCAATTTTTTTTAATATCCTATTTGATGTCCTGCCTTTGTGATTTATTTATGGTCTTAGCATAAGCAGTATAAAAAATCCAGAAAAAAATAATATAGTATCTGGGGTAGAAGAACAATATCACACTTGATTTTACCACACAACTAAATTGCTTCAATAATTTAGTCTATAATTTTCATTATCTCGTACGATATATTAGTTGGTTTTTTGGCAATTTTAGTTTCTAAAGTACATTTTTCTTACTAATAAATTAATAAACATTATTGGTCATGTTCAAATCTTAGGTGAATTAATTTGTAAAATCTAGTTCATATGAGCACTCTTCAATCTAAGATCAACTTCCTAAATTATCCATATCCAATGCCAAACAAATGAATTTTTGACACATGAAACAATTCTAAATCATTTTTTTTAATAAGTAGAAATATTAATTTTTATTGTTAAATAATTTAGGAAAGTAAACCAAAATGCGACAAGCATAAGTTTAAAAAAATAATGTATATGCAATTTTGGACTTATTGCGTTATTTTTTTAAACCGAATTATATAATTTCATCTGCCAAATATATACTGTTGACTGTATCTTCTATCATTTTAATTTTTGGCACATCCAAGCTGCTTTTCGGGAATAATAATGTAGACATTACATTTTTCTTATATATTAAATTCAAATATTATCTAGGCTCATAAATTTAGCTAAATTCAAATTTCTAGTGGATTGACATTTCTAGCAGATGACAGTTCAAATGTTTGCAATGTCAAACAAGGATAAGTGTTTTTTTGTAATTTTTGTCATTTATTTCTACTATATTCCTATAGTTTTATCACTCATTCAATCTTAAAAATTTCCTTTGACAAACTCTAAAAAGAATTATCAAAATCCGAATAACCGTTTAGGAGAAGTATCAAATCATACATCCGTACAGAAGAATTTTATATATAAGATATGAGCAATTATTCCCACAAATTAGATATAATAATATAATTTTTTTTGCCAAATTATCTTCGCATTTTTAAACAATTTGCATTTGCAAATGTATAGATTTATAAACAATTGCGTGAAAGCAATAATATACCGCAATTTAAGCGTATCAAGTAGAAACTCATAGTCTGTGTGTTTTTATTAAAATTCACACCGATTTCTTGATGAGATTTGCTTTCTACGTATTATATTTGAATATCGTAGAAATTATTAATTTCTTAATAAAATCGATGTATCAATCATATTTCAATATAAATATTTATTTCTTAATTTACTTTTGAGTTCGATGACAAATCATAGTAAATCATTATACGTATATTTCATGATTTTCCAGAGAATGAAATCAAGATGGTTTTTGTAAAAATTGGACAAAAAATTTCTCTTAAAATCGTGATTTTTGTGTGAAAAATATGTGTTGTAGCCAAAATGCTAAAATACATCAAACCTTATATATTAGAATTAATTCTAGACAGAATAAATTAATTTTGATTTTGGTGTAAATAGAGCAATATTACATAGAGCATATATTAATTTTTTTTCAACAACGTATTACAAGAAAACGGCTCGGTAGATTTTCACCTAAAACTAATCAGTATCATTTCCAACTAATATCTTTTGAACAGTTTTTGATTTTTTAAAATCGATTCGGTAGGATGAGCTTAAATGTGGACGAAAAATTTAACACTTTTTCCCAGATTACAAAGAAATGGCTCGGCAGATCGTCGCACAAATATATAATCCTCATCGAGATACATCAAATGGCTCTTAAATTTCTGAAATCGGTTCAGGCGTTTTTGAGCAAACATCGATGAAAGGTCTAATTTTGACAAATGCCAAAAAAAACGATACTAATTTTTGCAAATTTTGACGAATTTTCAAAATTAAACGACTTGTCGTAGGGCCGTAATATTTAAGTATGATCTAGAAGACCATGATATCTATCACCAAAAAAAAATTTTAACACTGTATTACAAGAAAACGGCTCGGCCGATATCTACCAAAAAATTAATCAGCACGTTTCCCAACCAATATCTTTCGAATGGTTTTTGATTTTTCAAAATCGATTCACAATTGCGGGCTAAAACGTGGTCGAATTTTTTTTCACTTTTCTGCTATTTACAAAGAAACAGCTTGGCTGATCGACGCGCAAATTGATAAACACTAGTCCTCATCGAGATGCATCGAATGGCTTTTAAATTTTTGAAATCGGTCCAGCCGTTTTTTGAGAAAACGTCGATTTACGGCGAAAAAATTGTTCACGCACACGCACACACATACACACACACACATACACATACTTTTTCCAAATTTGGTCGCATTCGATTCAGAATGGCTTGAAACGTAGATAAAACATAAAATTAGCGAAACGGAGCTGTTTTTGGGAACTTTTTGCAAAAAAAACCCTTATGGACACGACAATCAAGAAAATTTTCAAATTTTACTCTTCGGGAAAATGATTTACTTCTTCAAACTTCTGGCGTATATTGAGCAGATTTTTTTTAGTATCAATACCCAGTTATTAGCCTGGAACTTTCAGTGAACTATTTCACCTACCACATTGTTATATTAATATAATTTGACCTAAAGCCTTAGGTACGAGTATTTTTAAGTTCGAATCCGTTTCCAAAAATCGTCGAACTCACGCAACGATATGCCGATGGCATTATGTTCAGTTGAATAATAATAATAAATCAGTGTATCGAATCACTGTAAAGGTTTTACATTTTACGTTTTACAGTTTTAAATTATCGTAAATAAGTGTGTTAGATTTTTTTGTGGTTTTGTTAAAGAATCGGGAATCAAAGAACCGAATCTTCGTTACGCTAACGATCACATACAATAAATTATTACGAATACCGCATCGTTAGTTCGGATTGTAAAGGAACAGTCAAGTGCAATAATGTTATATATAATTGACTCGGACTGAAGACCAAGTTAAACTTAAAGAAATTAAAAATTACAAAGGTAATCAATGTAGCTTTTGGAACATGTGGAGTTTTCTCTGGAATAAGCTAAAAAAACTAGTGGAGCCATAGCATCATGCCTTAAGGCAAATTGCTAATACTATGCGTACCGAAAATTACTTTTTTTTTTTAAAAAAATTGTCAAAATTTTTGAAATCTTTGAAAAAAATATACTTTGGAGAATATTGAAATTTTTGAAAAAAAAATTTACTTTTCTGGAAAATTTATCCGCTACACACATGACATGATGGTATCCGAACACGCACGCACACGCACACGCTCACACATACACATCCATTTTTTCTAAGGTTTGCCAAAATGTGTAGAAGCCTTTAAAACGTAGACATTCATGAGAAATTAACAAAAAAATCAATATTTTATTGATGCATACGTTGAATAAATCTTCTCGGCATAGATTTCAAAATGTAGTAATGAATTTTAGTTTTTTTAAAACTATATAAATGGTTTTGTGCACTCTATGTGCACAAATTTTGCATGCATACCACAAATTCATTCATTATTTTGTCAAAAATTAAATTTTCAACTTCCCGAAGAAGTTTATATTTTCGTCAAAAAATTCTATTTGCAAATTTTGTTTTCCGACGTTTCAAGTCATTCTGAATCGAATGATACGAAATTTAAAAATAAATCATGTGTATGTATGTGAGTTGATTTGTAGCTTTTGGTCGACGTTTTCTCAAGAACGGTTGGACCAATTTAAAAAGTTTAGAAGCTATTCGATAAGGACTAATGTTTATTACTTTTGTGCGACGATCAGTCGAACCGTTTTTTTGTAATTAATAGAAAAGTGTCAAATTTTCGTCCATAAAAATTCAAAAACTATTCAAAAGATATTGGT